GGTATCTGATCCAATGATGGCATGTGTCCAAAAACTGGCTCCATGTAGGCGCTCCAATCCATTGCTGCGGCACTTTCAGCAGTCGCTGATGAAAACCCCGGATTGGGCCAGATTGAACATCCGGGGGCGTTTGTAAGGCCAGGTGGAAGACAGCCTTGATCTGATCCCAAAAGGCTGGGCGACCCTTGCGCCAGGTGTGTCCTTTTGGCTGGAGCATCAATGGCTTTGTGACTGCTTGCAAATGATGCCCACGGCCTTGAGCTGCCCACGGGTTCTCCTGGAGGAGGTATTGCTCTGTTTTGGACAACCAATCTGCCCATGCCTGAGCGGCTTCATTGGGAGGAATGCCGTATAGGTCGAGGCTGTTGGCCTGGGATTGGTAAGTGGTCCACGGTCGGAAATCAATGTCAGGCACCTTGGGCATGGGCGGGAAGTATGGCATCTGGCGATACTCCATGGTTGCAGCTTCAATGTCAAAGGTCAATTGAAGGAGTGCATGTGGTCTCCATGGAACTGCCCAATGTGCTTGGAGCGAGGTAGTGCCTGCAAGAGAGTTGTGGAGTACCGCATAGTCGATGGTGTTGCCAGACAGTACACTGTGATCTGGTGCCAAAATGCCAAAGTGAAATTTTGAAGACAGGACAGTACTGGCCAAGGCACTAGGTGGATTCTGCCAATCTCCAATGAGCACATAGGGATGTGTTGTTTGGGTCAGCAGTGACAGCAATTGGGCCAGGATGTCCGAGTTGATGTCGCTTTGAAAGGTCTCCCCGGTCCTCAAGTAGAGGCCAACAACCAGAATGGTGGTTTCGGTGGCTTGCCAGAGAAAGCTTTGATAGCCACAGCCTTTGTTGGTGTAAGACTGGAATGGCGTGAGGCCACAGGCTGGATCAGCGATAACCATGATGCCTCCATGAGTGCCTGTTTGTTCTTGGTTCGGTTCCGCAGGTGTGCCAAAGACTGTGCGGCCACGGATGCTGAAATATTGGCTGAGCTCCCAATGTTTTTGAGGGTCCAAGTGGGTCTCTACAAAGATGTAGATGCCACTGTCACGAGTCCAGTACCATTCAATGACTTGCTTGCCCAGGTTGGTGACATTGGCATAGTACAGGGAGTTGTGATCCTGTGCATATCTGGCCCTTTTCACTGGACTGGGGCGCAGCGGAGGATCGAAATCCGGCTCATCTGCTGGCGGTAGTCCTTGCAGGACTTGTTGTGGAGTCTTAAAGCAATCGATGTTGACTGCCCAGACTTGGGTGATTTGACTGGCCAGGGCCGGTGTCAAGTGTGGCAGGTGCTGTGGTACCTTGCCATCATCCGCGATCCACATGAGGTCTCTGTAGATCAAGATAGCAAAGTAGTGGCCTTCATGGTGGGTCCGGCCCTTGTGGCAGATCAGGACTGCCGGGACAAATTCAGTGGATGTGCGAGAGAAGCCATCCAATGACCGTGGCACAGTGAAGGTGCCATATGGATTGAAGGGTTTTTGATGCTTCGTCATTTCACCTTCAATGCAGGTATTCCTGGTGACATGGCATACCAATATCTTCTTGTCGTCCAGCAAGTATTGCCCCATGCCCTGATTGGCCCAATTGTTCACCAATTGTTGGAAGGTCACATTGTCAGGCCAATCATCCGGAAAGGGAACCAAGATGGGCTGCTGCACATGATCTGTGAGGTATCCTCCTTCACGGATTTCTGCAAAGCGATAATGAAATGCTCTGCTTTGGGACTGGAGCCACAGAGAGTTGACAAAATGATTTGCATCGCCATCGGTGTTCAGATCATGTTGCTTCCATAGGTCTCTCAAGCCTGGCAAGGCCTGCAGATCCACTGGCTCCGCGGTGTCAATGGACTCCTGGACGGCCTCCTGGATTGTGCCCCATGGTTGGGTGCTGGTTTCTTGGAGCAAAGCGCACACCCAAGTGAAAGCTCTCCAAGGTGCATTAGCAAAACACCTGAGGCTTGGATTGCCAACCACCATGGTGAGGTTCTGGAGGATGCAATCGGTGGATGTGGCATAGTTCTGCATATTTGATGCCACCGTGGTCTGACTCTGTGTTGTCCAGGTGCCAGTAGGTGCTCCTCCCAAAATGGAGAGATAGGTCAAACCATCAGGCGCCCGAGGAGTGAGAGTGCTCTGAGAAGTGTTTGTCTGTCGATGTTGCTCAAAACTGGTCTGTTGCTCTGGTCTACCAAGAGTGGAATCTTCGTTGCTCAAGGTAGAAAAGCTCTGTCTGTTGTATTGCTCAGCTGGTTGTAGTGCATTTGCCCCTGCACTCCACGCTGAAAACCCCATAAGCGTCTCTGAGCCTGTGACAGCACGGCAAACCGGTGTTGTTGGTGATTGCACTGTCAATGGCCGATCCGCAACAAAATTTAAAGCATCACTGGTTGGTGTCAAAATCGGACTTTCGTGGCCTTCACATGACATGAGGTCATCTTCCGGAACCGGGAAAGTCCACCCCTGAAACATGAGTGAGCTCATGTTACCCACACTGTCCAGATTTCCCAAGAGTTGGCGTGTCGGTTTTCCGCCGCTTGGTGGGGTCCTCCTGCTCATTGTTGGGTCGCTTGAGGAGACCATGCAGCTGAGTCTTCTGCTCGTCTGTCAAAGAGATGCCCAAGCTATGGACAAAGGATTCAACCGCCATGGGAATCTGTTCAGCTTCTCCATGGGCCGTCGGCAGTTCAGAAGGAGTTGGGGTCTGATTGACCGCTTTCATGTAGTCATCTGAGAGCGTCTTGAGTGACTGCTGACCCTCGGTAAGCTTGCCCTGGAGCTCCTGCATGTCAGTCAACAGAGCTGCATATTGAGCTTTGACATTGTCGATCTTGGCCTGGAGTTGGGTCTTTCTCATGGAAAGATTTTTGAGGTCTGTCACACGACCCTTGAGCTTGGCTGCAATTTCACGTTCAGTACAGGGCTCAGGGGTGGTCAATTTATTGACCAGGTCTTGAACTTGTTGAGGTAGGGCCTCCATGTGTGACTTAAGCACATCCTTGAGCTCTGGTTCATCTGGCTTGGTGGGGCCAATTCCGATGGCCTGCAAGCGATGCTGAGTGTCCTCAGTCAGAGTAGTCCAAGTGGATGCCAAAAGTTCGGTGGCCTCTTGTTGAACCTTAGTCTTCTTGAGTGGCTTGACCTTTGGCAAACCGGGAGGAGCTTCGGGCCAGGATCTTGGAGCCTTGATGAGCTTGCCAGCAGGCTTGCCATAGCCTTTGCCCTTTCCTGTGGTAGTGCTTGCTGTCATCCACATAGTGCCACAGCGACGACACCTGGTGCCAGGATACATCTTGTCCTGCCATATCCAGTTGTTGCAAGTGGCCTTGCTGCAAGGGGTATAGGCCCTGCACCAGTCCATGTTCACTGCCCCGATCACGATCTGGCCAAAGGCTTCTTCAGGGATGTAGGGATCACGGGCAAAGTGGTAGTGCACAATGTCCCTAAGGCTGTGCTCGTACCTCAAGTTATCAAAGGCCTTTTGCAGGGCGAGAACTTGCCAGGTGCCAAAGGTCTCAACAGAAAGGTCGAAGTTGGAGTCGAGGATCACGGGCAAAGGAGTCCAATGCCCTCGTGGATGACGGGGCTCGGCTCCAATGGCGTGTGTCCTGTGCCTGGACTTTGTATGGGACCAGGTTGAGACCTCAAATGGCTTGAGCCAAATGTATGTATGTATGTATGTACGATTATGTATGCATGGATGTATGTATGTAGGTATTCATCGCCCCCGACTGCTAGGCCTACAAGCACCAAACAAATAACCACGATGGCAAAAGGTGTTGGACATCCCGAATTCCCGAATTGGTTCATTTACCACCCATCATAATCACCTTCATCATCACCTTCATCATCATCACCATCATCATCGTCATCGCCATCTTTGACAAAGCTGCGAGCGAAAGGATGTTTTGCAGCCTCCTCCTGTGGAACGACTGGACTTGGGGCCAGGGCATTGCAAGTGGAAAGGCCACTGTTGGCCAAAGGCATCTGCCCATCCTGGATTAGAAAGTACTTGAAGATCTGCTGCTTGATGGCGTGTCGCTTGGCCCTCCTGAGGGTCCATTCCACTCCGGCTTTCGATGATGGAGATTGCAGAAATCACCTGGGCTGAATCGCCTTTTTTGGAGCTAAATATCGACAAAAGATCGCTAGAAATCAATCGTGCGAACCGTCTTGCTTTGCAGGGAAATCAGGAAACTTCGGAAAATGCCAATCAGTTACACCCCCCGTTTGCGCAGCCACGAGCTCAGGCCCAATAAATGCAAGCCACAATTGGCAGGCACGTTCGGTGCAAAGTCAACCGCATCCTTGCAGGCCAGGCTTGCGCACGACAAGATTGATGATCGAACAAGGTGGAACCCCCTCAGAAACACACAAGGAATGGCCTGTCATTCCTCACCTGGGTCATGCAGATTTATTATGATTTATTCAACCCCCATGTAATGTAGGGGTGAAACAGCAAGAGTGGTTCTATCGGCATGTTGGCGAGCACCCGCCAGTCCTCACTTGGTCGACTTCCTTCTGCATGATCCTCATCCATCGGTTCGAAGCCCCCAAGGTGATACGATAGTGCTTCAGAACAAGACACCCTCTGCAACGGGGCATGGGACACTAATACGCAAAGGATGACCATACATGTTTTAGTAGGGAATGTTGAGCTGATTCAGAGTAGCTCAAGATTCCAGCGGGCCAGTTGTCACGGCGATACACCGTTTGGGCCAACAGTGCAGGGCAGCCATACAACAAACTAAGTTCCAACCATGCACAGGCAGGAGTCTGAAAAGGTTCCGTCTATGCAGCTCCCTACTGCACTCCCTGGCGCCATGAGCTTGGAGATTTCATGGGTGCAAGTGGTGGCCGCCTGCTTTCTCCTTCTGAAAGGGCCAGAAACCAGCTCTGTAATTCCAAGGTGGTTCGAATTCACAGGCGCAAAGACTTTGCAAAGTGGAAGTTGCATCTTTGGCAAACTCATCGGACATTGGGAGACGATCTCTTATTAAGTCAAGCCTGCCCAAATGCCCAAAATAAAGGCTGAGGCACTACGAGTCCAAACTACAATGTACTTCAACTTCTCAAGTTGAGCTTCAACGTCCAGCCAAATCTTGAGTGAAGCGATCAAGCTTTCCAGAGTCAAAACCTCCAAGAAAAGCCACTCCATGGCCCCGCGTAGGTCCGAGATGAACCAGGAAATATAGCCCCAAACGACGTCCACAAAAAGGTAGTGATAAAGCTCCGAGATGCTTGCAAAAGTCCTCCCAAACGGCCCATACGACTGGAAGAAGTCTTGAAAAGGCCTCCCCGGATTCGGTAAAGGAGTCTTTGCAAAGTCCTGTGCCGTGTGCACATTGTAATCCGCATGTCGTTCTTGCCGCTTGAGCCAAGTCTCTGTCCACATTGGATGATCCTCCCGCTCTGCACTCAGGAAACTCGTCACCCCCTTGGCCGTCCATGCACCTGACCAAGCCCACCGGTGCCAGATTCGGTCATGAGCAGCCGGAACAAAGACACCAGATGAACAATCACACCATCCATCCAAGTAGTGAGCCTTTGTCACCTTGTATTTCAAATAGGCCTCAATAAGGAGTGAAATGAGATCAGTGCGCTCCTCTTCAACAACCAGCTCTCCGGCGCAGTTCTTTGAAGCTTTCTCAGCCACTGGCAGGTGGTGCGTGTTCAGCAGAATGGGCTCGGCATAGTCCTCCCCCCCCATGAAGCCGAGCAACATCGCATCATATCCCAGGTGAACCTTTGGAGCTTTCAAGGTATGGTTCTGCACATCAAGTGTGCTTGATGCACTTGAAGCATCTCCCACCTTTGCATTGGACTCATTGGACGCTCTTCGGCTTGCGCGCAAGTGTTGCTGAGGATTCTTGCTGCGGAGTGCGCATCCATAAAGGTCTTCTCCAACGGCACCTGGTGCCCACTTTGGACCACAAGAGCTCTTTCCAGTAATTGCCTCACCATCGCACGAAAAGCATCTACATACGACCCTGGGGTCATCAAAGACTGGCCAGCCTTCTGGTACCTTCACACCAGCTAATGTCACCGTTGTTTGTGTCAAGGTATGCTGGTTTTGCACGTCACTGGGACACCCAAACTCGCTGAAATAGCACTTCCAGAAGAGCAACTGAGAGACTGCACTCTCTGCCAACGCATCTGACGGAAAGAGGAGCAGGATCAACACCACAGGGACCAGAAAAACGAATGCCGATCTTTGAGAAGACACCCACTTGGCATGCACTAGGACCTTTCTGACTGCAGCTGGAAGACAGCTAACATTCTCCAACTCGCTGCTGTCCACCTTGAAATCCTCCCCGACGTCTGTGACCTGCTTGGACAAGTGCCAATGTCCTGAAAGTATTGGCCGTAGTACTCAGAAATTGTCCTGAACTCTGGCGGATTCTCTACCAGCTTGCATGTTGACCCAATTTTGCGCAATGCGGTCACTACTTGGGAGCACACATAGAAGATTACCATTGTGAAGGCCACCATGATGCTGAGGATGATTGCAGTGGCCGCAGCAAAGCCAAGTACTGCTCCCAGGATGTAGACGACTAACGGAAATACACAGAGGCAAAGAAGGACGCCCACAATGAAGGCGGCACCCGCGGTTGGAAGGCAGCACAAGCAACAGCAAAAACAATGGGGAATGCAAATGCAACAAGCTTTGCAGAAGGCCGAACAGGTGTAGCAGAACGCACTGCAGAAGTTCTTGCAAGAGGGTCCGCAGTGGATACAGAAGTCGCGCCACCATCCGCAGAAAGCAACCACATGTTTCCAAAGTTGCACCCAGAACATCCACCACCCTTGGCAAAGGTACCACTTCAGGTATGAACAGCATGACGCCCAACAAGAGCACCATGAACAACTCCAGAAGCAGGTGCAACAGCTCAACAAGCTGCTCCACCAGGCCTGGCATGTAGGCCACCAGCATGTCTGGCAAGACAGGTTGAGGGCTGAAAGCACAAAGCCACCCGCCACGTATAGAATCCCAATCACATCCAGCACACAAAAGCTGGAAAGAGCTAAATAAGCCAAGAGATCTTTGTAGTAGAGAACTTGTGACAACAGGACTGATTTGCAAGCGAAACTAGTCTCAAGACGGATCACCCCGAGAAAGAACTCTGTGGACTCCTCAAAAACCTTCCTCATCACAGTCACTCCGGCAGATACAGCTAAGTACGTCGTAGCACAAAAAGAAACCAGGACGAAAGCTTGTTTGCACATTCCTGGTTTTTCCTCTGGGCTCAGTTGTTCGTAGCCTTTCTTCTCCACCCTGTTTCCTTCGTAGAGAAGGCCAACCGTCAAAACACCGGTTGCAAAAGATTCAACGGTTGCAATGATGTTGTCAAACAAAACTCCAGAGATCTCTTTGACAGGAGCTTCGAGTCTCAAATTCGCAAGGCTCGCTGCAGCTGCTTGCACTCCACAAAGGTGAGTGAAGTCCCACATCTGCGTTTCATTGAAAAGTTTTTCTGGCAAACATGTTGGGTTGAGTTTGGTCTTGTTAATTTCACACCGTGGTGCCCATTTAGGTGTCACGAAGCCCGTGTTGTTCCCATCATCTGTTGCGCCAGGATCTTCATGTAGTTGGCGACTCGGATCAAGTTCGGTTTCGAAGGATGTTTGCCATGGCCAAAGGCAAAGCAAACCAATCAAACCCAGAACGAGCACTACGAAGCGGCCAGCTAGGCACATGGCAAAAACGTACAAAGATCTCACGACCGTTTGTGGACCGGCTTTGGGCCCAAAAAGTAAGCTGCGGTTTCTACAGCAGTCGCACTGGTGCATCCCTCCGATTCCAACAAAACATGATGATCCATCATACAACGTTCATTGCCCGAGTCTTCTCCCAGTAATGTGCTGCACTCAAGGTGCTCAAGTGAACATTTGCGGGGGTTGTGGCAGTGGGCACTGTGCTCAAACGTGCGAAATGTTGCCGGGAACCGATGAACTCTGACGAGGCCTGATGTGTTTCATGGCGCTTTTGTCTTGCAAGGCAAGGTTTGGTTTATTTGGCATCTGGAATCTCAGATGTCAATGTCTGTGTTTGGCCAGCTCCACTCCAAAGCCCTAGCATGCCCTAGCCACCCGGCCCAGGCCAGCACTGCATCCACTGCTGTGCCCAAGCCCGACAAAGCTTAAAAAGGACTCGAAGAATCACGTCCTCACGTGAACTCTGAACAAAGCTTTGCAACATTCGGCCACGCAGCATGGAAGCAGGCGCAAGCTAGCGACCATGTGATTTCCACGCGATGCGGGTGCGTGTGGGAGCTTAAACAACTTCTGTGAGTTCGTGAGAGCTTCACACGGGTAGGGAGGTGCAAGGTGTAGTGTAAGTTTTACAGTAAGTGAATATGAAAGAGGTGGCAAGGTGGAAGTGGTCTCCCTCCTTCTCTCTCTCTCTCTCTCTCCCTTTCTCTCTCTCTCTCTCTCTCTCTCTCTCTCTCTTTCTCTCTCTCTAAGTTTCCTTTAGGGCGATCAAGAGCACGTCATGCTCCCAACGGCGTAGCCTTACGGCGAATGCCGGCGGTCCCTCCCAAGCTGGCAACGGAAAGACCTGTCATGCCTCAAAGCAAGTGGTTGAACCATTGCATTGAAATTCACACGGGTGACAAGCAAAACAAAACGAAACTAGCTGGCAGAACATTCAGAAAGCAGCCATTCATAGGGGCAATATAGAGAACAAGTCAGCCGGCGCCACAGGGCTCTCTGGTCAAGAAGTCAGCCACATTAGCGCAACATTCGTTGCACGCGCGCTTCATCACAAGGCCATGCCGGGCGCGCTGCTGGGCACATGTTGTTGAGCTCATGTGAAAGCAGTGTCCATGTGATTTCATGTAAGCATCCTGCTCAAGGAAAGTGTCCTAGTTCAAACGAAAAATGACCGGGTCATGGTGGTCTCGCTCAACCTGGATGACGCGGTCAAACTGTAGGGCTGACTCTTCACCTTGTTGTAGGCCGTGAGCCACTCTTGTCGGTCGTGGTCAAGCTCATCAAAAGCGCTTTCGGTGCTCCGTGATCCGTCCCTTCATTTTCACGCGGTCACCATTGATCAGCCCAGTCCCTGTCTTCAGAGCGTAATGTTCATCTTGCAAGCGCTGGTCCTCGACTTGTAGGTCACCAAGTTGCCGCAGAGTTCGTCGAAGGCGGTCATTCATTCCAGCTGCATTCTCAAATTGTTCCTCGGTGTTCACTGATGCAAATCGTGGGTGCCGGTGAGGTTGGAGTCATCACCGAACTCCTCTTCACTGCGCATCAGACCTGACTGTGGCGGCGGTCCACTTGGTGGTCGACGCACTCTGCCAAACAAAACGTTTGCCGTTTTCGACGCAAAAAACAAAACAAGTGCAATTGGGCGGGGACAATGAAGAAAACCTAAATTCAAACCTCATGTTGGTGAAGGAGGTGAGGTTGTCGTTTCGCGCGGTTGTGGCACAAAAGGTGGTGAAAGCAGACATTGTTTGAAGCGCTGGCATCTGTCTGCTTTGCCGCTTGGAAAGTGGCGTCACCCTTGACTCTGGTCAGGCGTGTTCCCAACCAGCCTGCCAGGAGTTGTGCGCTGTCGACCTTCATGAGGGAACCAGCCTATTAATTGAAGCTTCCTGCTCACCCATGCCTTGATTTTGTCCTGGCATAGCAAAGTTTCTATGGCAGTGTGCCTTGTCAGCCCCATGGCCTGCCTGAACTTCATCTTTGATCAACTGATCGTACAATTTTTTTGCGTCAATGACCATTGGTTTCCACGGCATCGACTGGAAGGTGAAGGAGCCAGAGTAGCTTCCCAAAGGCTGCAATGCACAAGAGAGTTCTCCTGCCGGGCTTTCTGCGGCAAGAGAGGATCTTGTGATCTAATGGCCTGTTTCGCAATCCACGGTGCCCTGATTGACCATGACAATAAGATACCCGCCTTGACTTGGAAAACCGGTTCTGGAGGCAAACGCGGCAGCTGTAGCCAAGAAGGTGACGTTGGTTAGGCCCTTTCCCAAGTCACGATGCCGATACCACCACTGGTCTTGGCCACGCGCAAGATCATGTTTCCTTGTTCGATCGTGCTGAGCTTTGCCTTGGAGATCTCACCTGCGAGTTGGCTGACAACACATTGGAGGCATGGTGTTCTTTGAGCACGACGCGGCCCAGAACTCCTCGCAACGTCGCGGCCTCCCTTGGAGTCAGGGAGGCATGTGGTTGTTTCTTCCATTCTTCACTCACAGTGATGGATATCAGTTTCTGGATGTAGTGGCTCTGGTGGGGGCTGATGATCAGGCTGAACTTCGATCTTACAGCCACGATCTTGCAGCCACAGTAACAGTATTCCAAGTGCTTGTCCTGTTCCCAAACATGAGGAGAAAAAACAGTTTGTAAAACTGTTCCTTGACATGTGCAAAAACAGGTGAGTCTCCGCAGCCGCTGACATCGTCAACATGGATGCCGTTGAACAGTTTCGACATACCACGCGGTCCTCAGGCTTCCAACCCAAAACAGTGTATGCATCTGTGGGAGGGTTTTCGATCCACAAAGCGCGTTTGGGACCATGTGGTTTGCCCTGTGGCGATGTCTCCGGTGAAAATGGTGTATCCAAGCGCCTGGGAGATGGACAAGAAAATGAAACTCCTCAAGACGCGTGTCAACGTCGGGTTGTTTGTCTTTAGGACGCCTGCAAGTGCGTCCGGATCTTTGAAGCCTTGGGTTACCAAACGCGCGTTCGCACGGAGGGCGTTATTT